GAACGGGGGGGGGGGGTGGTAAGTGAAGTTTTCCACAGTGCTCACCAAGCTCCTTCTGAAATAATGGCATTGGTGATGGTGGGCAAAAGGGAAAAAAAAAGAAGACGACAGCACTATCTAGAATGAAGAGGCAAATGTAAAGAGTCATAAAATGACACAAAGTACACTCAAAAATATAGCTCAAAGACGGTTACTGATTAAACAGAACTAAACAGTGTAGTAAATACCTCAAGAACACAATGATTTTAAATCAGAATTAAATAGCTGATAAGGAAGTTGAAATCCACTGTCAGTGCATACACAGCCAAATCCAATTTCAGTGCCTGCCAAATATATTCACTTCTGTTAACAGAGAAATTTAAAGCGTTGCATGCATCCTTGAGGGGTAACACACTCCTTTCCCACGATTTCAAGGTTAGGATGGCAAAAGCAATTTTTTAAATAAATTACTGGAGAATGTTGAAAAAAGTGTTTTAAACTGGCAGAAATATATAAAATATGGGAATGAAACTCCATAGTTAAATTGTTTAAGTATATATCCACTGATGAAAATCATCAAATCCTTTTTTTCACTTGGCAATTTTTGCTAATCACTTATTGATATTCTAGTTGAACACCACAACTCACAGGTGAAAGTAGTTCCGTTTCTTTAAAAAACCCCAAAACCCTGTATTAACATGGTGACATTCAAAGTCAATCAATCAAGTTGATTGTAATTCAAAATATTCTTTGCCTGCTTTGAAATAGTAATTTTTCTCACCTTTCGTCTGCACAACCAATTTTTAACCAGCTTAACTAAACATCCATTTAGTTAAATCACTGCAGCTTTTGTTTGTGGACTCTCTCATCCTGGTTTACAACCAGATATGTCCGTTTGTCTGTGCAATTTGACTCAAAGAACCAAACAATAGGATCCTGGTTTAAAAGCATGCACACACAAAAGCTCTACTGCTTTCATTCAAAACAAAATAAAAATCCTGTCTTCACCTACACAAATACATTTTTGTGCCTATACCAAGCCCCTGAATGAGCTTTGCTAAATTTTGGTTTAGTGACATAGATAATTTTGCCTTTTGATAGGGTAAATTTAATTTTAGGTCACTTGTTTGAATTGGTTTTAGGATTTTTCCCCAGTAGTTTATTCACAATGGAAGGAGGACACATAAATAAAGCCCCAGTGAGAAAATTATGCAAAAACACAGAGTAAGCACCTCACAAATTATACTAGTGACACTGAAAAAAGAATAAATAGACTGACCAACCCAAACAATATCCAACACAAGCGTACCAATTGCAAGCCCCTGCAAGGAGCGCTGAAAGAAAAATCAGTAGTTAAAGAAGCTAATTAGTAGTCAGTCTCATGTTTAAATAAGCCTGGAGCAACTTTCTATGGCAATTTTTGTGCTGCTGCTCAGACATGGTTAGTACAATCTGCCAATTCAGGGAGAGTTCTCTGAAAGGGTCTAACAGAGTTAAAAGTACAGATCCCAGACTTTTAATGGGATTTGTGCTCCCAAGTCATATAGATAGTTTTGGAAATCCCCACTTTCTAAATTGTTAATTCTAGCTATTTGGCTTTTTCTTTCCTTTTCATACACCGTATCAGTGGCACCTGGCCACTTCTCAGACAAAAATACATATTATATAATAATAGCTATATATATTCATATAATTTCTAGAAAACACCTTGATAATCAAAAGCTAAAGTTGAAACTTGACTTTTTTGTCTTCCATCCCCTAACTCGTGTACCTCATCAGGACTATTAACACCTACATGTGTAAAACTTTCATTTGATTCTCAATAGATATACCAATCTACAGAGCAAGAGGCCACCAGCAGTTTTGCATAAGAAACACCAATTAGCCAGCAGTCTGCAAAGAAAAGCAGCCCTTATGGTAGCTCTTTGTGGCTGCCTTTTCAATATTCAACCCAACGTTGAAAAAACAGGACAGGATTCCAAATGATAGGGCATTTGTTTTAAATATAAAATTAAGTATATATTTGTTATTTATGGAGAGAATTGGTCTGTAGATGAACACAGCTTCAGAATAAATACATACCTATGTCCTGCCTGGTAAAACCCCCAGAAAAACAAAAACAAACCCTTAGATGAGAGGTGCCCTGAGCTAACTAGAACCCCCTAATAGTGCAAACAATGTTGCAGCGATGCCTGGTTTTACCCTGGCATCTGCAAAAACAACAGAGCAACAGTTCACAAGCTTTCTGAGTGGCTAACATACACACACGCACACACACAGGTGGCACTGTGCTCCCTACAGCCATTGTTGTAACTTCGCCAAGTTTTTCTCCATCCACTGGATATTTAACTGAATTGTCTCAATAGCTTCTTCAACACAGTGAAGTTGAGAAGTGTTTTCCAATTTTGACTCAAAGAATGTCTTCACCTGCAGAGCAAGGAAAATGTGCATGTCATACTGAGAAATGTAGGACCAGCATACGCCAATCCTAAGTTAAGACCACGCAAGGAAAATTACAGGCTAACTGCTCAGAACTGAAAATGGGTAGAGATTAGGTTTCATGGAAATCATAGCAACTGCCTGCTTAGCTTCAATAAATTAACTCAATACCCCTTCATTCAAAGCAGAGTTTTTCAACTGGGGACATGTAGGCCACATGCAGCCCATGGACCCCTGAATCTGCCTCTCCCAGAGCCACATAAGCAGGGCAGGCCTGTTGGAAGGAAGTGTGCCATCTGGGTGTCAGGGAGGTGGGGGAAAGGAAGGACCAGAGGGTGCCATATGCTGCTAATGCTCCCTTTGTGCAAGTTGGGGGAGAAGGAGAAAATCCCAGGAGCCCAACCCTAGTGTATGGCTGGCACCGTACATGGACCTAGCAAAGGTGAACAGCCCCAGCTTAGAGCACAATTAAGTAGCAATCATAACATATTTTAAAGAAAAAAATGGCTTTTCAGTGAAGGATTCTGGTAAAGGATGTGATAAATGTGATTGCTTAAAAAGATTCTATCTAAGATGCCTTGAAAAACTACCTATCACTGATGTATGCAAACACCAAAACTTATAAAAGTAATTTCTAGAAGATGTTGCAAATGTTATGTACATGTAATTTATGTGCACTAGCCCATCAATTGCATGCACATGTTTTCTTGGACAATTTTAAAAGATGTTGACCATTAAGCATTTCACCAGAAGAAGTTCACCAGTTACATGAAAAACTATGGTGACATCTATACCACTTCTTCATACTCCTGGAATAGAGAATGTGGGAGAAAAAGGAGAAAAGTTGTGTCTGTAGCTGTTCTTCAGCTGCTACAATGGTCCTTTGGGTTCCTGCCAGCAAAGTGGCTTTTAGGTTGCTTCACGTTATGCCTGTGATATTCATGGTACCCACATGCTCCAGAATATGGAATAAAAAGCCACCTTTGTTCCCTTCTCCCCAGTGATAAAAATCACAGAAAGTTAGGGTTGGAAGGGATCTCAGAAGGTCATCTAGTCCAACCCCCTGCTTAAAGCAGGACCATCCCCAACTAGATCATCCCAGCCAAGGTTTTTGTCTACCTGGGTCTTAAAAACCTCCAAGGACACAGATTCCACAACCTCTCTGGGTAACCTGTTTCAGGGTTTTCCTACCCTCCTACCCTACTTCAGGACTTTGATCTCCATTTCCTTAATATACACCAAGTGCCCAATCTAAATAATGTGGACCAAAATAATTTCCTCTAATGACAGAGGCTGTTTCAGTATACATACTATCAGATTGACAATCAAGATGGCTAGCTCCTATCCCTAGTTCTGCAACATGCTTGCTCTGTAACCCTGAATCACGCATTTCCCTGTGGCTGTGTATATAGTACTAGAGATAGGACTCGTGACATACCACTGTATAAGGAGTATGTACTCCATGGTGAAATGCACTTTGTATTAACAGTAGGGATGTCATTTTTTGAGGAGAAACAAAGATTAGGCACCATGAATTTTATCCCACCAACCTCAAGTAGATGTGCCTCTGTTGAAAACTGGCAGGTTGACATTATAACAATGTTCTGGACAACAAACGATCCTAGATGGAATCTGAAATATGGAAGAAAAAAATTAACTCTTGGTAGCAACGTTATGATACAAGTTCAAATCATACACTCTATTAAAACTTCTCAGCTAGTAACAAACTTAAAATTGCAAAGAGCATCTAAGTCATTTAAGGTTTCCATGTCCCATTTTCAAAAATAACTTTGATAGTTAGAGGCCAAAGTTTTAAGAACATCTGAAAATGGGTTTGGGAAGCCAAAAAGATACACAGGCTTAACTTTTGGGGAAAAACTGTATTGCTTCATGACAAGCACTGGTATTTCAAATAAATGACATCTTGTTGTGCTCCCCCCACATCAAAATCCCAAAACCAAAAACAGAATAAACCCTTCACAGACCCAATGAATGTATCCCAAGATTTTATTTTTCAATGCATGTGAAAGCATATTAAGATCATTGTGGATATAAGATATAATGTTGTTCAACGAAGGAGAAATCCAGTATGCCCTAATGATTTATCATATTTATTTGCATACCTCACACCTCTAAATATAACACACACCTTGTTTGGGAAGGCAGAATACAGTGGGGGAGGCAGGAGCCAAACTGTTTAGAATCTGTTTCCTCATTTAAGACATATATAGCCCCAACTTTAGATTGACAATTTTGAGGGGAAAAGGTCAGCATGATATGTGAACAAATAAGGTAGATCATTAATGGAACTGAATAAGCTCTGATGTAACCTGGGAGATTAAGTTTAAATGAAAAGTCATTTTATACCAAGTTCCCCTTGAAAATGGCACTTAAGCAGTTTTGAAAATTTTACCCTAAGTCTTCTTAATATGTAGCTGGGTATTCATCATTCTGCCCAGGGAAAAACTTTATGTCTTATAAATGCTGTCCTTAACCCTTCATGCTCATGCCACCACTGTGACTTACTTCTGTGTAAGTTTTTCCCAGTTCTCTTTAACAAAGTCCCAGGCCAACAAATGTCCAGGAAAACTCTGGCTGATAGTTGCTATGATATGAGAAAGTTCTTGTGCCCTTATGTGGTCTCCCTCAAGGCTTGCTTGCATTAACCTAGGAAATAAAACATGAACAGTTTCACAGCTATTGAAACACTTCACAGACAAACTCCAGTGGTACTCACAGGTCACACTGATCAATTTGAAAAGATGTTACAACAGGCCAGTTGTTAGTTAACTATCAGCTTAACCAAGATACTAAATGGACATCAAGACAAGGTACAGGAGTGCTATTATCAGCTGTAAGCATCAGATGTAGGGCCCTATTTATTGCAAGGTGCTCAGTAATCTTAACATTCACTTAAGTTACTCAATTGCCATCACAATTCCCATCACTAAACCCACTGATGAAATGAGAAGTAACAATACTGGTTCCACAGCAGAGCGATTAGGAAAATCCTTTAAAGCCTATGCTACTTCTCCCAGACAGTCCTGTAGGTTGATTAGCTAATGTAGTTGTTGGAGATAATGCATCTTTCAGAAGGCAAGGTGGAAATTTTATCCATAGAAAGGAACTGTTATCTATTGTCTTAGTGCTTCATTATCAAGCAAACCCATACCTGGAAGCCTTCGTGCAATTTCTGATTAAAAGCTATTATGTGTTGATCGTCCCAGAGTGCAAAAAAATTTAGGCTGATTTTTCTTTTCTTATACCATAGTTTAGAATTTTGACTTCATATATCTACAATAATATAGGGATATTACCACAGATGTACACTTTTGTAAGTGAGAGAAATATAAGGACTTTTGTGTTCAAATTTATGGAAGCCTGGGCATAATTTTTGTCCATTTTTTGCTTTAATAGACAGATGCCTACTAAGATGTTCACACATAGTGCTAGTATGAAAACCACCACCACCAATAATTTTAAATGTTCTGAGAGCAAGGCAGGGACAATCCATGCTTGCAAAGATTCTTACTTCCTTAGTTTGCACATAATATAATCTTTTGGCTCTTTCATACCAGATCAGTTTTCGGACATCATCTGTCCTGGCTAGGGCTTCAAGCATTTTGCTCTTCTCAGCTTCAGAAGCTGAAAGTGTGTACATGGTTAAGAGGAATTCCCAGCCTTCTCTAGTTTTTGCTCCAGCCGTGAATATGATTTTCATAATGTCAGCAGGAACACTAGACAGGAAAAAAAGCAGAAGAACAGGCCTGCATGAGACAGCAGGAAAAAAATTCACTATATAAAAACATTATCTAAAATTGCAACAGTAATGCCTTTCATTAGAATGTTTAATCTGGTAGTGACTGTACATTTCTAAGACAAATGAATTCATGCTAAGGAAGGCACTATTCAGATTTCAGTTCACTGGGAAAGGACAGGTTACAGAATATATGGAATCAAAATTAAGGTTTAGATATTCTGTGACAAGAATCGTAGTTATTCTGCAGCAAAAATTCACATTGGTTCTAGACGGAGCAAGTTCTGAAAGATAAAGGTTAACTTTGATGCTGCAACTAGATAATTCTATCTTGAGCTTGCAGCTTAGGAAACTGGGATGGAAACAATTTGTTGCTGGTCTTACAGTTGCATTAAAAGTGGAAATAATATGTTTTCGCTTTAATTTAGTTTCTCTCTTGGCCTGTGCCATAATAAAAAAATTGGAGGAAATTCAGCAAAAATTGTCAAACGAAGTATAGCCTCCCTAGTTAGGAACCTTCTTCAGAATAACAGGTAAGCATGTAACTAAAGGAATCTCAGTCTAACTTTTTTATACCTGACTGTACCATTAGAATCCTTCCATTTTTTAAACCAGTCAGTGGCAGTGGTGCTACAGGTTCCCAAATTATGGGCGCAGGCAAAGGATAACAATGTTGACCGCAGTTCTCGTTCAGATAGGGTTCCATTGTCAGTCCAAGTTTGGTGATCAATTTTGTTTCCAAGCAGCTTTACTACTCTGTTCTAAGAGTTGAAAGAAAGATGGAGAGAGAGTACAATATTAAAGTAAAGATAAACTTTCCAGAGAGGAATTCATATATGAGATCAGCAAGTAATGAGAGGGTACAACTACTGTTCATGAATATACATGAGAAACTTTATACGGTCAGCTTAGATTTATTCAAAGGTGCTGGAAGTCAGCTTCTGAGCATCTAATTATTAAGACTGGTCTATGCGCTAAGTGCCACAGATTAACTCAAGGTTATTTTAAAATGATTTAATTAAAACAATATAAATGCTTGTGTAGACAATCTTCATTTGATTTAAAGCTAGATTGTATCATTTTAGTTTTGGACTAGTAAGTTTCCAGGTGGATGCTGATCTAATACCATTTTACATATCTCTTTATCTACGCAGTTAGTATAATAAGGTATTGTTTGTAAATCCTTTGACTAAATACTAAATAGCAAAACAGTTAGGGTCCCTCTAAATGTTACAGGTATTGCAATTAACTAGTTAACAGAGCAATTACCTTGAGACCAGCTACATATGAAAAGTACTTATGCCATAAAAAGCTCCAACCAGCTATAATGTTAGACTTGAAAATGTGTACTAACTTTATAGCTGGTTGCTTCAATTTGCAGGTATAAGAGGGTCTTCCTCCATGGCTGGGAGCCCTGTCAGCTGACAAGGCTCCCAGACACAGAGGTGCACCATGCCCAGCTGGGGCTGGGAATTCTACGACTAAGGGGACTCTCAGACCCAGCAGCTGAGGACACAACTTGATCTGGGTTTCAGCAGCTGCAGGGCACAGCTATGATCTCCCAGCCCCAGGGGTGTGTGGAGGCTCTGGGACTGGGATATCATAGCTGCTGTGGTCTTCTAGTTCTGGGGGGTACATGAAACCCTCTGGGCTGGAAGTTCACAGCTTCCATGATCTCTCAGCCTTGGGGTCTGTGAAACCCTTGGGAATGCGCAATTTCACAATCACATCTCTTGCCACACATGTGGCATAGCAGGAGGCACAACTATGTGGATCACACATTATATCCCATTGTACCTTTACCAGCAAGTGAGGCACTTAGTAACAGTGGGCTATTACTTCTTTCTTAATATTTCTTTAATTCAACATTTACCAAAAGCAGTTGAAAACATAAGTAGTAAGAAGTAAAACAGCCATGTGCCAAGGAACTAATTTTTACTATCTGGCTGGGGTTTTCATACTCCTCTGTTGCTTTGTAGTATAAGACAATAAATGCTATTCTCAGACCTCTGACTGGAATGAACAGCTTTGAGAATGAACACCTTTCAATGGTCTGTTGTTTGGTTTACAGGTCCATACCTGCTTAAAGTACCCTATTGCTCAATGGAAAGTAAACATGTGAATAATGAAAGTTGCTGTAAATAATGAATGAGGGCTAACACATTAAAATTTAAATTGAGAGCTGGGTGTTCTGCTACAAATAAATGAAACTGTCAGGATTTAGAATCTCTCAGCCAGCTTTGGGGACTTCTGAAATAGTAAAAACAGACATCATCTCCCCTTTCTGCAGTAAAAAGTCAAGATTATAACCAAGGGTATTCATAATATTTAGAAAATATTTTGGCTTGTCATTTGTATTATGGTGGTGCCTGGCAGCCATTATCATTGACTAAGATCTCATCATGTGAAGAACTGTGCAAACACAGAATAATAAGTCCCATAGTTAAGAATCCCACTGTTCTTTGGTATTACTTAAGGCAAACAAATTAGCCTTAAGTCCACATCAATTAGAATTGAATATTCCTTCTTTAAGTATCCCAGAAAATAATCTAATAGTGACTTGCATATAGCCTACTATTGCAAACACTGTTTCTAAAAACAGAGAGACTTACCACTACTCTTCCTGCAAGTTCCTGCATTCCCCTTTTTTCTAGGAGGCTGTAGATGAGATTCAGTTGGAACAAAGCTTGAGAGATTGGTACTGTGCTGTCCTCTTTTGGTAGGTAATCAATCAGGTCAAAGGCTTTTGTCAGAGGCACCTTTCCTAGGCTAAAAGATTAATAAACACAAAAGGAATAAAAATGGACTCAGAAACAAAGACTTGCTGGTGAAATGAAATTTGACAGCTGGCATATACCTTCTGAAAATATCCTACAATATCCCTGATTAAATTACAAGAGAGTTGCATTGTAAGCTGAAGAAGTGAAAGATAAATAGTTTTTACATTTTATAGACAAGTTTTAGTGCTCTTGTCATTTTAAATATGATAACAGTGGTAAAAAACACGTCTTCAATTAGTGGACAGAACAAAATAAAAGATGCAGCATGGCAACAACTGTAAACATTTTTACCAAACAGAATTACTCTGATCAAGGAAGCAGCTGACAGAAAGACCACCCAGAACAATACAACTTAATCTAGCTTTGATGCCAACAGAGAGAAAGCATGAGCCATTAAAACATTAACATGTGAGGTAACTATCTTATTTCTCATAGTTTCATAGTAGGTAGGGTTGGAAAGGACCTGAGCAGATCATCAAGTCTGACCCCCTGCCCTGGGCAGAAAAAAATGCTGGCGTCAAACAACCCCAGCTAGGTGATTATCTAGCCACTTTTTAAAGACCCCCAGGGTAGGAGTGAGCACCACTTCCCTTGGAAGTTGGTTCCAGATCCTAGCCACCCTGACTGTGAAGTAGTGCCTCCCGATATCTAACCTGAATCTATTCTCGGTCAACTTATGGCCATTCTTCCTTTTGCCAGTTTGTAGATAGCCACCAGATCCCCCCTCAGCCTTCTCTTGTGGAGGCTGAACAGGTTCAGGTCCCTTAACCTCTCCTCATAGGGCCTGCCCTGCTGACTCCTGTTCATGCAGGTGGCCCTCCTCTGGACCTCTCCATGTTGTCCACATCCCTCCTGAAGTGCGGCGCCCAGAACTGGATGCAGTATTCCAACTGCAGCCTGACCAATGTCATATACAGGGAGAGGATCACCTCCTTGGACCTACTCGTGATGCATCTGTGGATGCATGACAAGGTGCGGTTAGCCTTCCTGACTGCGTCCCCACATTGGCGGCCCATGTTCATTTTGGAATCAATAATGACTCCAAGATCCTTTTCTGCCTCTGTGCTGATGAGAAGGGAGTTCCCCAGCCTATAGGTATGCTGCTGGTTCTTCCTCCCTAGGTGCATCACCTTGTACTTGTCAGTACTGAATCCCATCCTGTTCTCATCAGCCTACCCCTGTAACCTGTCTAAATCTAGCTGCAGCCCGTCCCTCTCCTCCAGCGTGCCCACTTCTCCCCATATCTTAGTGTCATCCGCGAATTTGAACAAGGTGCTTTTTCACCCCCCATCCAAGTCGCTGATGAAGATGTTGGACAATGCGGGCCCGAGGACCAAGCCCTGAGGGACCCCACTGCCCACATTCCTCCAGGTTGAAAAAGACCCATCCACCACCACTCTCTGGGTGCAGCCCTCCAGCCAATTTGCGACCCATCTGACTGGGTAGGCATCAACGCCACAGTCGCCTAATTTCTTAATGAGAATGGGGTGAGAGACAGTGTCGAAGGCCTTCCTAAAGTCCAGAAAGACTACATCCACTGCAACACCTGCATCCAAGGCTTTTGTGACCTGGTCATAGAAGGTCACCAGGTTGGTCTGACAGGACCTGCCTCAAATGAACCCATATTGGTTGCCCTAAGCATGATCTCCCCTGCTGGCCCCTTGCAGATGTGCTCCTGCATAATTTTCTCAGAGCTTCCCCACGACTGAGGTAAGACTAACAGGTCCGTAGTTTCTTGGGTCCTCCTTCCTTTCTTGAAAATGAGGTCCACATTGGCCCTTTTCCAGTCCTACGGCACCTCGCCAGAGCACCATGAGTGCTCATAAAGCCATGCCAGGGGTCCCACAATGACCTCTGCTACTTCCCTCAGCACTCTGGGGTGGAGATTGTCAGGACCTGCTGATTTGAACACGTCTAGACACACCAGAAGTTTCCTGACTAAGTTCTCACTGACCCCGGGCCTGGCAGCACCTCCCCTGGGTCCATCAGGGATCCCAGTGGGGGGGATGCCCCCAGTCCCTGCTCAGAAAAATGGAGGCAAAGAACTCTCCCATGCAGCAAGTACTTCACATTCCATAATAGGAATATGAAGTAAAGCTAGGTTGGGAGGTTGTGGATTCTCTCTCACTGGACGTTTTTAAAAATATGGTACACAAATTCATAGAATCATAGAAAAGTAGGTTTGGAAGGGACCTCCACAGGTTGTGTAATCCAACCCCCTGCTTAAAGCAGGGTCATCCCTATACAAACTACCCTAGACAGTGGATTTGTATACCCTCTTTGCAAAACTACAGTCAAGCCTGATAAAACACAAGACTAACACCATAACCTGCTACAGGTATAGCAGGGGGACCACAGCAGCTGCTGTAAAGGTTGCTAATATATGCTCAAGACTGTGGGGCCGAGTTGTACTGCTACTCAGCATGTCCACAAGTGGTGGATAGTGAAATGAACTTCTGGGAAGGTTAGCTGTGAAATAAGCAAAGGTAGCTCTGATGAATAAGCAATTGTGGACCAAGCAGTGGTAGCACCACCAGAATGTGTCAAGGACAGCAAATGGCAATGCTTTCCTTCCTGAAAAGCCACGCATATCCTTTGATGGTGCTGTGACACTGTGAGTACAGGCTGTCATTATAATAAGCCTATCCAGCCCCCTGCCATGGGTCTACAAGTTCTCAACAATGGATCAGCAGAAGATGTTAGAATCTCAACAGTTGCAAAGGCAGATGAAGGCTGCAGCGGAACGAGATCCCCAGTTGTCTTGGTTTCCTTGCCACTGAATCAAGGTCCCGTTCCATCAAAAGCCACGTGGAAGCTGATATGCAACACTTTCTCCACGATAAAAGAAGTTACGCACAGGCATGAAAACAGTTTTTCCAGCACATTCCTCAAGTCCTTTGACGACCAGCTAATGGTGATGGGAGCAGGATTGTGAGGTCTGGAAGATCCTAGTCACAAACTGGCATGAAAGTGGCAGTTACAAGAAGTCGCCTGGCACTTGGACAAAGACAGGAATGTGATTTGGCAGCTGTAACTCACTGAGCAGCCCGCTTCAGGATCCACTCTGGTCACCCCACATGGGGAGGGGACTATGAAAGATGCCCTAGCCCATCTCAAACAGTATTCTGTATTTTTTCCTGACTGGATAACCGCATCCAGTGGGATCACCTTTATTGCAATTGAAAGTACCAGAGAAGAGACACCGTCATTTTCAGCACGTGGAACATCAAGACCCCATGGACAACCCTAATAGTGAAAGCCCAGAGCACTGCACTGCAATCATGGCCTGAGAACTCAGGTGACACACCATCAATGTAGCTGCACAAAGCAAGACCTGGTGAGCAGGAGATGGGCAGCTCAAAGAACATGGAAGCAGCTATACCTTCTTTTGGAAGGGTAAACAGCAAGGAGAACCCCGACTTCACAGAATTGTTTTTGCTATTGAGAATAAACTTATAAACCAAGTCAATAAGTTCTCTGTTAGAATTAATGAGCACCTCATGACTCTGGCGTCACCAGCGTGCATGTCCCAACTCTTGACGTTGCCGACGAAACCAAGGAAGAATTCAACACCAACCTTGACCGAGTGCTTTCTGACATCCTGAAGGGAGACGGACTTGTTCTTCTCAGTGATTTCAACACCAGAGTCAGAAAAGACTCTAACCTCTGGAATGGAGCCATCAACAAGGAAGGAGTTGGAAAAGTCAACTCCAGTGGCATCCTCCTTTTGACCAAATGTGCGGAACATGTACTCACCATCACCAACACCCTGTTCCACCAGAAAAACAGGAACAAGACATCATGGTAACACCCACAATTAAAGCATTCACACCTGACTGACTACACCATTGTCCATGCCCAGGATCAAAGACATCCGCATCACCCAAGCTATGTTAGGAGCTGATGATTGCTGGCTGGACTGACCACCGACTCTTCCACTCAGTTATGTCGTTCAAACTGGCTCCCAAACGATGGCTGGAGCAAAAGCAAAGCCAAAAGAAGATCATCACAGAAGGATTCAAGGACCCAAGCAAAAGAGACCTCTTTCACCAGTGCCTCAATGAAAACCTGGTGAATTCCAATCAACAACAATGGGAGAAAAAGTCACCAGTATGTGCGGTGCCCTTAATGGCACCGTTATCAGCACCTGTGAAGAGACAGTTGGATGCTCTACCAAGAAACATCAAGACTGGCTTAATGAGAATTCCTGAGAGATTCAAAACTTGATGAACTGCAAGTGTAAGGCCTTTTGTGCTTGGCAAAATGACACTAACTCCAAGCAAAAGAAGCTGAATCTCTAATACGCCAAAGCAGAGATCCAGAGGACCTGTAATAAGAAGAACAAATGGTAGAAAGACAAGACTAAGGAGATTCAACATCTTGTTTTCATCCACAATGTGTGGTTTCTTCAGTACCACCAAAGCCATCTACGGTCCAAGCACTCAGGCACCAACCACCTTGAGACGTAAGAACAGAGGAGACCTAATCAAGGAAAGAGGAACCATCAGTTGGAAGGAGCATTTTCAAAATCTTCTCAAGCAAGATTCTGTTGTTGACGAAAGTGTTCTCAACTCCACCCAACAACAGCAAGTAGAGATGATCTCGGAATCAACCCTTGATGAGGTAAGGAAAGCCATCAAGCAGATGAAGAACAACAAGGCATCTAGAGAGGATGGAATCCTTATGGAAATCTTCAAGGAGGGGGGAGAGGAGCTCACATCACAGCTTCATGCCCTCCATCTTAAGGATCTCGAATGATGAGGAAATCCCAGATAATCTCAGGGATGCCATGATTGGATAATCTTCAAGAAAGAAGACAAGTCCAATTGTAGAAACTACAGAGGGATCACCTTGCTGTCCACCACAGGAAAGATCATTGCAAGGACCCTCCTGAACCGTCTCCTTCCGCTTGCTGAAGAGCTCCTCCCAGAATCTCAGTGTGGGTTTAAGGCAGGGATGGGCAATTATTTATGCTGGAGAGATGCTTAATGAGTTTGGGTGAGTTGTCAAGGGCTGCAAGGGTAGCCCCACCCCCTGACAGATGCCCTGGCCCCCTGGTCACCATCTTGGGACCGTAAGTCCTGCCTCTAACCCCTGACTTTGGCACCAGAAGTCCCTCTCTTGCCTGCAAAAGTACTTCGGGGGGGGAAGAGGTTGCCACCTTTGAACCAGAAAAAAAAAAATCATATATTAAAAGTCAAACATCTACTATAACATATTTTAATTTTATTACAAAAAATATTTTTGTCATGATTTGTGTTTGTGTTGTATATATAAAGATAATTGCGTAATAGTTCAAAAACAAAGCCTTACTCTTGTATATTTGGGGGGAGTGTGTGGGGTGTGGTTGGCAGTGGCTATATGTGTATGGTGTGTGTGCAGAGTTTGTGAGAGGGTGTGGCTGTGTGTGGGGTGGTGTAGGGTATGTTGCGAGGGGTGTTTGTGTGGGGGTGTTTTGGGGCAGAGTGTGGTTGAACCTCTGCTTGAACAGCTCCAGTGATGGAGGGTTCACAACTTCCCTACGCAGTCTAATTCCACTGCCTCACTGTTCTAACAGTAACAACATTTTTCCTGATATCCAATCTAAGATACCCAATTTGCATTGATCTGGTCTCAGAGCAGAGGGTTGTACTGGATGATCTCTTGATGTCCCTTCCAGTCCTACATATCTAAGAAAGAAAATATTATCCTCAGAACCAGGACCTACTGGTGTCGTTTGCAATACAAAAGGGACAGACACCAGCATGAAATGAATGGAGACCAACATCTGACATGTTTTCATTGAAACCCCAGTGAAACAGAGATATAAAGAGTTTAGTGGCAGTTGAACTTATATATCTTTAAAGCAATTTCTTCCAATGTACTTAAATACAATTAGTCTTTGACTTGACCTAACCTAAAACAAAAAAGCAACCCCCCAGCACCACAACACCATAAATCAAATCAACTGCTGCCTAGTACAAAGCACTACCCTGCAAGGCTGAAGATATTGTTGATCAGATTGGCTCGGTCTTTTGGCCCGAGAGCAGTGTGATCTCTTTGCAGCAGGTCAATCAGAATCTGCCAGTCCTCTTCAGCATAGTGCACTATGTAGTAGCCATTCATGTCCACATTGAACTTCACCCATTCAACCTCTTCCGACAGTTCAATTTTAGCTAATTGAAAGACAAAAACAGATATTATGTTAAACTGATATTCTCCAAAACCTGTTTTCTAATTCAATGTCTCTAGAGCAGTAAATGATCTGGATCCAGGTTGTCCAAGAAGTCAATTCTCTTCTCAGTTCCCAACTTTCCATTCTCCCAATTCTCCTCCCAACTGCAAAAACACACAGTCAGTGTGTTATATCATGGGAATTTGTCTGGTAAGAGAAGTGGTGTTCAGGTCAGAATTATACTTTTCTCCCACCTTCACTCCTTTGTCTGCTAGACTTAACAGGGCCACAATTTGCCACTAATTATACCCAGGCACTCCCAGAGGATTATCTGAACAAAGAACATAACCAATTAGGCAACGTAGGGCAAGTTTAGTCTCTTCACTACAATGTCAAGAATGGATTCAGTTACAACATGTAAACTTCTGAAACCTAGGCCCCTGCCACACATTACACTTAAGATGTGTTTAACCATTTAATCACATCTTAAGTTTTAACCCAGGTACACTTTAAAGTAATTAGTGGCATCATAAAACAAGGAATAAGCCACAAAGTTATTCTGCAAGAAAAACGTAATAACTTGGTGGCTGATTCCCATCACACCATTAACTGAACGTGTGGCCAGGTGCACCCCGTGACTAGGAGCTCTGTCAGCTGATCGGGGCTTCCAGCTGTGTGGGGTGCACCATATGCTCCCGCAGCTGGGAGCCTCACAAGCTGATGGGGCTCCCAACTCTGGGGACACACCATGGCAGCAGGAGGCAGGTTACCTTATCCCCCCCTCTACTGACTGCACTCCCACCATCTTCCCTTCTACTGCCTCCGTATCCCCCACAACCATCCTACCCCCCTACCATCTCCCCCACCACAGCAATGAGGAGTGGAAAGCAACCAATTTAAGATGACCTTCCAATAATTAGATTAAACCTATACACAGAAATGTATAACAAATTTTTAATTTTCCATGTATAGAATCTAATTATTGGGATGAAAACCTAAATTCACCTTGGTTTTGCATAAATATGGTAGTAACAGTTATAGCCCTTTAATACAGCTGCAGATACTATTAGAGAGATCACTGGCTCTGCTGTTACTAAAGTACTGTACAGCTTCCACAAGCAGTTTCTGATAAGAACCACCCTTACAGTAAAAGAAACATTAAGGTAAACCAGATACCTTCTACCTTTATCAGAATTGTTTAAAAGAAATTGATTCAGGAAACTTAGTTTCAGATTCTGATAACTAAATCACAGTCACGTAAATCACATGTTCTACTGCAAAATAATTCACATGCTCTACTGTATAACAGTAGTGAGGAACTTAAGCAATTACACATGAAGTTACCATGCTAATGCTCCATTCCCGAAACAAAAATAGCATACATTTTACATACAAGATTAAGAAAAAAATACTTCCATGATAATTTATGTTATTAAATGCCTGAAATGCCAGATTCTGACACTAAGCAAGTGGGCTGCAACTCAAGAGTTCTGCTAAGAAGAAAAAAAAAATCCTCACCCATGAGCACTAATTCTATGGCCCATTTTTCAGGTCTAGAACAATCCCCACAGCTCCCAGTTACAAAGCAATCATTGTAATAGTAATCCACTGGTTCCATTTCACCCACAACTCTCCCCAACAAAAAACCCCAAACAAACAAAAACCAAAACTTCTATAACATGCAAATACAGACAGAATATGGATGGCGCACAGTTTCACAGCACAGATAGCATGGATCTACACTGTACAGACTCATTGCATCCACGTGTCGATTTTAAATTCTGGGTGCCTTGTTAAATTTGGATTGTGCTTTTTAGAATATTAAAGCCATTACAGTATAGTAGATGCACTCCCTGCTGCCTGCCGCCACCCCCATCACCTCATGTTAAATGGGGGGGGGAAAAAACCCTGCCTTGGATTACAGTAAATATGGTCCTTGATTAATAACTGTGATGAAGCAAAGTGCAGATACATAAAATTAACTTGGTTTTTCAATTTGTCAGGTAGCAATCAACTTTTTAACTATCATGTCAAATGACAAAGATCCAGAAACAGCTCAGTGGAACTGAATAATGCCATTGTCAAAACAAAACAAAAAATCCCTATTTCATTAAGCTACTGTACTTTTAAGAGTTGGAAAAAATTCTTTTACTGGGATGTACATATATATGCTATTTTAAGGTAACTCTAAAGGTTTCAGACTTGCATTAAGCATTCACCTTTAATTTTGGAAGGCTTCCTTCAAAATAATAAGAGGTGGGAGAGACATTGCACACAACATATCAATGAAGTATGGGCCAATAATAACAGCAAGATTAAAGGTATTTTGAAGAATGGGCTAGATCCTCAACCCTTAAAGAGTAAGTCAGTGAAGATACCCTGATGCCAATGAAGTCAATGGTAAGGTAGCCAAATGTTTTTGGTACAATACTACCACTGTACGACATCGTACAGATTAGTCTCAAGAGATTCAAAATAACCACCACAGGAAAAAGAAGATCAAAATAAATTCAAGTTCCAGAATGGATTATTTTAAGGTATAAAACAAATAATACCCGAGAAGGGAAAACTGTTTCCTCACACCCATAGCTATGTGAGGTGGTTAAATTTCTCAGGACTGACTCTATAAGGAACACTCTACAGCCTGTCAGGACAGGGAAAAACATCTAGGTCTATGTTTTGCTCCCAGCCATTTGTGTCAGTCGTGGAGGAGGAAAAAATTTTCCTGGAATGGTTACCATCCACTGCTACACTCTGTAGTACAGGCACTAACATTTTAATGCAACAATGTTTGATACTACCAATTGATAGCTGACTATAATCTTATCCATTTATACAAAGTTTAATTTGCTCCACTTACAAAAATATTGCTGATATGCTGTTATTTTTTACCCACAGATGTTATTTTCTTTGCCACTGTATTGTACACCCTTCACTTCAAGACCTACTCAAGGGTGTGCAGACAAAAGACTGATAATTTACAAAAGGAAGTTAGCCTGTGTGCACTACATAAATTTACTAGAGAGGCTCCAAATCACTTACCTGACTTTTGGTTCAGTAAATATACAGTAGGAAAATGAAAAGTAAGGTTGTGGTTGCTAGTCATGTAAGTAAGAGGAATATGCCACAGGTAACTGTAAAAGAAAAAATATATATATTTTACAGACATATTAAACAATATTAATGAAAGATGAATTGAATGTAATCAGGTTTTCTATTTGTTGGTGGTCTCAGTCATTTACTTTTTAAAAACTGCTTTAACACGTTACTGGCATTTGAACACCATCATAGGTTAAAGGAATCTATTCTATACTCTCCTCAGCATTCAAGGGGTTCACAGACATCAATGAATTTTTATCTTCAAATTTTCTTTGGGAAGTAGAAATGTATCCTTATTCTCTTTTTCCATTGTAACACGCCAACTAGTAACAGTAAGTAATTTAGCCAAATCCACACAAAAAAATCTGTCACAATGACAGGAATGGAACCTATAGCATTTCATTCCCAGCCTAGTATTTTGTTCACAAGACCTTCGCTCCTTCATCCCCTCTGTCTTGTTCCACAGTTTTGCATGGAATTTATTTTCAAAATTCAAGAAGAAGAGTCGTGATTCAAATCTCATTAGTGAAAAGTAATCAGTTAAGGAAAAATTCACAAGTAGAAGATTATACATTAATCTTCCATGTAACACTGGAATTTTTATTGTCACTAGATGTAACACTACTGAGAGGGATGACGTGAGTTAATATGCAAAATATTCCAACTACCTGAAAAGCTTTTAGGAACAATCTACAACTTTTTTTTAATGTCAGCTCTACCTCCAAAATAAACAGGAACAGGCAGGGCACAAAAGTCCTCATGAGACAAATTTATTTTAGACCAACGTCTGCAAGATGCAAACATCCCCAAACCCCCTTAAACTTCAACATCAGTAAGGAAAAACAACACCTCCAAGGATTTGGCTCTACATGTCACGCTTGAGAAGGTCTTTGCCTTGTTAAACAATAAGGTAAAAGTTCACGGTACCAGAATACCATTGCAAATAAAGGAGCTCTGTAGTTTTCAGTTATTTAATCTTCACTTCAGTATTTCAACACTATAAAAAAAGAGCTACCACCTTCTCAGCCTTTATTGTGATGAAAAATACATCTAAACAAGGTATCATATTAATGTGAATTCATGGGTAAATGGAGAGCTTTGTTTTCTGCTTTCTATATTGCCCTGTGTCAGCACTCAACCTGAAGTCTTAGTCTAGTAACAAAATCACTTCCTCTTCTGGAACTTCTCCAAAATCCTTTAACACCTGGGATCCTTGTAGAATTCCTCCAAACCACTTCCTGCCTCGGTCCTCATGCACCTGCCCTTTTTGTACCCAATTACTTGAGTTGGAAGGCTTGATAAATGGAACTTCTCGGAAGAACTACTTTTATACAGACCAGAACACCCCAACAGAAAACTAAAACAACAAAAACAAACAAATCCTGAGCATTACTCTAGTGCTTACTGCAGTTCATTATACAAAAGCAAATTTTAAGATTTTGGAGCTCCTGATAGCCATGGACAGGCATTAACATTTGCAGCACTACATTCAATCTGTTTGTAGCACTATAAAGATGGAAATGGTACTACTCCTTTTGAAGAGGAACGTCTCAATTCTGTAGCATTACGTGCGATGCCTATAGGGTTACACATGGTACTACAGGAGTGCTAGGACTCCCAGCATCCCACAGTTCTCCACTCCCCACCCCATCTTCAAGGGCAGGAGTCAGGTGGGGTGGGGAGGGGATAGGGTAAAGGATCTCTGCTGCCTCTACAAGATCCCAAGCACTGGTTCTCCTTGCCCCTGCTGCCCCTCCAGCAGGTGGACTATCTTGGGTAGCTGCTATTTTTCAGCAGCTTCCAACTGATCAGTGACAGCCTGCCCCCTTCCCCAGCAGGGCAGAGGACAGGCTGGTAGTTACTCAGCTCCCCTAGGAGTGGGAGGAACCCATGAAACAGACCCTATTGCCCTCTTGGCTAAAGAATTCACTTTTGAGGAGACATTATAGCTCTCCACCCAGGGTCCTGGAACATATGTATGCTCCACTATATTTTTGTGCCTCAGCACTTGGTACCACTACAAGTAAATGCCTGTCAACACCCTATATTTCATTTCTACATTTACAAAACTGTCTGTTTTGTAAATATTTACCCCAATTACAGAGCAAGAAACAGGCAGGAATTGCCAATCATTGTTCAAGGTATATAACAAAGATTGTGTGCATTGCTGTGACTCACTCTCCTTAGAGCTATCTGCCATCAGAGGAATTACTGGACTTTGTCAAAGAGGAATATGAACTTTCCCAACAGTTAAATTACATGACTGTAAAAGGTAAGCTACAGTGGGGTATGTGTTTGTGGAATAACCTTGCAGATGAAGTCTGATTCTCCGATCCCGTACTTCGTAAAAATCTCTCCTGTTCCACGTGAATGGTCTTTCCTTTTCTTTTAACAGTCACTAGCGGAAATCCTGTGTACAGAATCCAGGTTCTCATCATTGCTTTTACATCTAGTGTTCCATTGGTAATCTGTAAAAAACAAACATTCACATTCACGCTCTGGAAGGAACTGACCAGTACTGTCCACCTGTCTTTTTCAACCATCTCCTCACAGCTCACTAGATGAGAGCCAACTTGGAATTTATACTAATGCAAGGAGAGAGATTAAATTTCTGTACAGAATCTTTGGTCTGCCAATTCAGTTAGTAGTAAGAATGATGAACAAATTTTATTTTCTTGGGTGGGGGGGGGACCCAAGTGACAGCTGAGCAAGAAAGAGAATTCTGCATAGACTAAGGTAAGGTGGGAATAGGTACAAATAGACTAAACTACATACGCAATACATTTTATGGCATTGCACTCTTTTTACTTTGTTTCTCCAGAATTCTGATAATGTTCTAGATTAGAAGAATATTTAAATTATTGTAGAATAAATATTAGGAACTGAATTAAGAGAGTCAGAAATGCTTATATGTTGATACTTCCATCTGTGGTTAAACAATCCATTTTAATTTAGAAGCCTTCAGTATTTACTCCCCACCCTACTATTTGCCACTCTTAAATAATTAATCCATCTCCCCATATATCTTGCTAATATGCTTTTATCATAAGGAACATTTACATTTTTATTGATACTTCAATTTTCACCCCAGACAGTAAAGTAGTTTATAAAACAATTACGCATTTTCTCCTCTCTACCTATATGGAAACTAATGCCCTGATCCAGGGAGGAACCCCTATACAAGCATATTAGACACAACGGAGCTCTGCAAGTGCACAAGAATGAATAATGAGCAATTTATTTTCTGAGTTATTACTGTTGTATCCAGAAGAGCCATATTTCATCTACTTTTTTCATCACTAAGTTCAGTACTCTATTATCACAGGCAATAATGATCCATAAACTGATCAAGCTTCATTTTAAGATTAGCTGCACAGACAGATTCTCCCCTCACATCCACATCCTTTGTCCCTTCTACTAGCTGGTCTCCTTGTAAACCTGGAAACCCTTCTCCCACCCAGTCTGTTCTGCTCTATCATTGTCCCTTCTTCATAATATGTTTAAGACCTACATGTCCTGGTCCAGTCAGCAAAGTACTTAATAAATGCTGCCCAACAGCTCCATCAAATCATTTTGCTTTTCCCATTCCTAAATCTTTGTTTCTTTGTTAACATTGTGATTAACAGACGTTAGTCTTCTTGCTTCTCTCTACAATGTGTGGCACCAGGCTAATACATATATTTAGTGCCATTAAAACCACCCTGTTCAAAAAACAACAAATCCCATTCCCCTCTCACCCCAGGAATAATTGAACAGCTTATACTTTAAGCATGTTAACATTCAATGGTATACCTCAGTTACTCCTAAATTCACTAAAAGTAGGAAGAATCCTGACAAGGATTTTTTTTTCTCCTACAGGATGTGGCTAAATAGTTTACTTGGGTTTTTTTGAGGATTTCTTTTAATATTTATGTGCCTCTGTTTCTTCCTTTTGTTTACTTTTCCTCTGTTTGGGAGACTATGCAAAAGCTGTGGACTTTGCATTTAGCGCTGAAGAAAAATCAAGACCTTCCAACTGAAATTAATCATAAGGGACTGACTTCCCATTGGAATAAACTGCATCATCAGTTAAGCCACCAGTTTGCAACCCCAGGTCATGACCCAAATGCGGGTTGCACAGGCAATGCCAGCAGCGCTGCACAGAAAAGATGAGCTGCATAGTGGGTCAGGAACTCCACTGCCCCTGGCCTGCCACCACTGCACTCCACTCCCAGCAGCAGTGCGTGTGAAAAAAAAGGTTGGGAACCACTGAGTTAAGCAGTAAAGTAGGCCAACAACAAGAGCTTTTGAAAAATCTCACCTTTCAATTTTTACTAGAGGAAACCCAATTCTAATTTTTCTTCTATACTGAGATCTAAATCCTGGAAATGTTTAAGCACTTGAGTAACTTTACTCCTGTCTAGTCATACTGACTTCAAGAGAACTCCTCTTGTAAGTGAAGTGTATGTAGGTTCTGTGCTTGCAATACAAGCACTATGTCCACAAAAATACATTATATTTATTCTGGAAGAAAAGTCACCGGGACTGTACACATGGCAATTTAAAAGCTGGAGAGCTGCCTATTGACAGCCTACCCCTTTCCCAGGCAGAGGAGATGACTAGCTACCAAGTAATGGGTTCCCCAATGGCTGGGAGTGTCCCATGGAACAGTCCTCTGAATGGAGAGCTTGCCTGCGTCACTCTCTAGCCAGGGGTCTAGAACATACATATGCTACAGTTTGCAGACTTTCTCTTGGTAAGAATATCACAACATTTCTTATCAACAGAAATGAATGCCCACCTGTGGTCTATGCTACCCCATCCCAGGACTATTTTCAAGAGAAGACTGAAAGGAGTACTAGCAGTATTGGAAGCTTTTCTTCTAGGCATCACCATTGCTCATTTATGTTTGTGGACGATACAGAAAATCTGAACAGTAATCATGATCAATAATAAGCAATAATAAGCTTTCAAATAGTTTACGGCCTTACTTAGCAGCACTAATACAAAGGGGGAAAAACACTTCATTTCCCAGTGTAATACATCATGTACAAAACAAGATTAATAACATAACTTGGACAGTTACCTCATTCATGCTGTCCCACAAGTCATCACTTCGGGTGGATCCATAACTGTGATTTAGCAAATAATTCTGAATGCCAGCTTTAAAAACATCCTCACCAAGATAGTTTTTCAACATCAACAAAAGAGAAGCCCCCTAAAAATAAATTTGTAAGAGAAAAAGAAATGTACAGTACTTGAAGCCTTTAACCTGTGTATGCTTCTTCCAAATTATGAACACCACAGGCTTTCGAAGGATAACTGGGGAACTGAGATTTTAGTCAGGTGATCTCACCTAAATAGTTATTTGACATTTCTTTGAAAAAATATATGAAGCTTTAGAAAGGTTGAAGAATCAGTGATGTTTCACTGACACTGATCTAACTGAAGACTTCCCAGTTAATACCACGTAAAATAAATGGTGCTCTAGTGAATGAGTCTTTGGTGCTTTTCAGATTTCACTGACAGTATTATTAAGAACTGTAGGTTGCTGCCCTTGTGACAGATGGTGTGAGATATAAATACACAAGTAACTAAAATGCATACACAGAGCAAACAGAAAAAAGTAAGATACATTGGTAAAATGGAACATAGTAAGGAGGAATGCTAACAAGTACAGATGCGGCTTGTTTAAAGACTTGAAAAGCAAAGAGATTTTGTGAAACAAGCATTCCAAATAGCCAGTTTTGCAAAAAACTGAACACTAAATTTAATCTCTCATCCATCAAGGTCACTGAGCAAGCCTGTGGCAACATTCCTGCATCAGAGCTACCTAGTCAATAAATGGCCTGAGGACAGAAAAATTACATATTCTAATGCAGATGAACACAAGCTGACCTTGAGGCATGTACAGATGTACTTCACACAGTTAGTACTAAAGCATACACTGAAGATATATAAATACTAATACTGTAATAATAAAATTCCAGCAACCCCCCAGCAACGTGTTCAAAACTACCCTATATACTATTCTTAGAAGTCTAGTATAAAATTTTTAGAACACAGAACATTTTTCTTCTGAATTATTCATACACTATATTAAACACACACACACACCTTTTTTCCTTCAAGTATTAGCCATCCAAAACTGGAGTGTGTTTTTTAAGTGAGGAGGGAGAAGGAGGGAGGCATGGGACAGTGGAGTAGCTAGCAGGAGCTGGCTCCATGCTGGGTATGCATGCAGGGCAGAGCCCACTCCTCAGTATTTATGCGTTCTCTCCTTGCGACCAAAGCTTTAACTTGGTTACAGCCACTACCAAACTGACAGTAATTTTTGGCCGAGTTTACTGGATTGTATAACAAAAGTGTTACTTGCAAAGAATCAAGGAAGATGATTCTTCCACTCTACTCAGCACTAGTGAGGCCTTACTTGAAGTACTGTGTCCAGTTTTGGGCCGCATGCTTCAAGAAAGACGTGGGCAGGGTGGAAAGAGTCCATCAGAAAGCAACAAAAATTACTAGAGCCCTGAAGAAGGTGACTTACATGGAAAGACTGAAAGAGCCAGGATTATTTAGTCTGGAGAAGAGAAGACTACGGGGAGGAGATTTAATGTTAGTCTTCAAATACCTGAAGGGCTATGATAAAGAAGATGCAGATAGGATTTTTTTTCTGTGGCTGCAAGGGACAGGACTAGGAGCAATGGCCTCAATCTGCAGCAAGGGAAATTTAGGTTGGAGATTAGAAATAAATCTCTCTCATCATAAGGGTTGTTAAGCATTGGGACAGGATACCAAGGAAGCTGTGAAAAGTTCTAGGGTTAGAGATTCAACAAGCAGGTTACACAGACAATTCACTGGGATAGTTTACTTAGGGATGATCCTGCACTGAGTGAGGGGCTGGACTAAATGACCGCGTGAGGTCCCTTCCAGACCTATTTTCCCGAGCCAACAAATTAGGCAATTTTAAAACTAAATGCTTAATTCATGACAGCGTGTGAATTCTGGGTTTATTCTTCTTTCAGCTAAATTGGAAACATATTTAGGTAAGGTAAACATGAAGAACATGCACAGAATTAAATAAATAATAAAATAAATATCTGGGATATATCTCAGGATATAACTGAGTTCTGCCCAACACAGGACTGAAAGGTGAAGGGGAAAGTAGTTTTATAGCACTTACATCCTCCTCACCAAGGCACCCCACCCCTAATTATGAAGGATTTTTTTGCATTAAAGGCTAAGTTATTTCCCATACTTAGACTGTGTTTGGGGGAGTGGGGAGGAAGGGGTGGAGAACAGAAGTAACTCTGTAGTCTCTTCTGGTGCCATTTAGGATATGTTCTTATATTTTCAAAACATTTGGAATTACCTTGAAATAGGAAAGTGCATCAAACATTTCTTCAATCTGCTCTGAAGACTGGACAGCAGAGGAGACTGGATGAGAGGAGTTCAAGGCATCTTTCCTCATGGTCTTGAATTGTAAATTCAGGAAATCTTCATCCTAGATTTAAAAAAAACCCAAAACAGGCTGTTTATGCCCTAATGAGAATTAGAACACTTAAGCTGAAGTCGAAGCACTTTTTCAGTCACCTGAAGTTCAGAGCCAGAATTCAGAGTAGTTGCAGCAGAAAACTTTAACTGTTCTCTTGTTCTCTTTCCTGTGGACCTGGAATAGTGGCCTAACCATCTAACGCTCTTCTGAACATGGACTATCAATTTTCCCCTTTTTTACTGACATTCACCCTGATTTATAGGACAATGCCAAAAGGAGACAGCAAACTACAATTAACCCTTTTCATCCCAACCTGTGACAGCAGAAACTTACTCACAGACTGACAACTACAGTCCATATAAGTTGTGTAACTCAGGTGTAGAGGTCTACCGATACATCAGTCCAAAGCGTATCAGCACCAATGATGAGCAGTGTCCAGCTGGTAAGTCTGTTTGGGGGAAGGGGCGGAGGGAAGGGAAGGGGTATGGGGGTGCAGATTGAAGCTCCCATGGTGAGGGAGGGAGTGGGGCTGAGGCAGGCACTGTCCAGCCAGGGCAGTGTGGGATGGAGTTGTGAGCGGCTTGTCCAGGGGCCATAGGGTGTGGTGGGAACTGCTCCCCACTGTGTGTACCCCTGAGGGAGGCATGGGGAGTGTGTACCCCCCAGATGTGTGTATGGGGTAAGGGTGAGCTGCTGCTGCAGGCTGGGGTAGCACCAGGCTCTTTCCAGTGGGGGCACTGGTCTGGGGCTGTGCTCAGGGCAGGTGACAGCAGTGGCACTGGGAAGGAGAGTGAATTCTGGGGTGGCCACAGCCCACCCTGTAGAACGCTCCCCCACCCCCCACCCCTGCGCTGCCACTGCCTGCCCTGAGCACACCCCCAGCCCAACACACAGAGGCAGCCTGCCCTCACCCTGCGCACAGATCTGGGGGGCACATACCCCTCTTTGCCTCCCGCAGGGATGCATGCAGCAGCAGGAGCTGTCCCCCCCTTCCCCGCGCCCCCAGACGAGCCACTCACAACTCTGTCCCGCACTCTGCTCCGACTGGACAGCGCCTGCCCCTGCCTCACTCCCTCCCAGGCACCGGCTTCAGGGGGAGGAGGGAAGGGCAGAAAAACAGCAGTTGCTAACGCAGCCATACTGCCAACGTAGTGATAGTCATAAGTCACCACTGGGCTCCCAGCTGTCTTGTTATACCTCTGGCCAACACCTTGTAAGTCAATCTTTGCAATGCCCAGGAAGAAGCATAACATGTCAACAAGAACTCAAGGCCAAAGACTCAGTCTCTACACAAACTATTTCTCTCCCCAGCATGCATGCAGTGATCAAATTGCACTGAACTAAAATCTATTTTAAGTATTTTTTTTAGATTTAATATTTTTGTAGACTGTGTAGACATTTTTTCCTTGTTTCTTAGCACCACCAAGTGGTGAAATCAAAGGCTTCAAATAAACTGTATATGTACATAACTTCATACAAAAGTAAGAGCTGCAAGGAGACCCTAAATTAGATATATGTACATGGAGCAGGTAGGTTAAAACAGACACACACTGCGTGAAGCATGATTCAGCAGTAAACTCTGGAGCTGGTTTTTAATTTCTATTTCCTATTCCGATATATATGCTGCAGTGAGAATTGGAGGACACCTATAAAGACAATTTTCAAATGGGCATCTGCTACTAACAGGCTTGTGTATGATGCCTGGTTCCAGGAGTAGAATGTACAAGCCCAAGTTAAGCACATACGGGCAAGTGTAAATCTGTAAATCTACTACACCAGGCAATTTTCTAGCACACTCATGCTGCAGCAGTGCTAATTCCCTTACTCAGAACTGCATATGCAAATACAACTACATTGCTTTTGCTTGAAGGATTATCCTGTGCTGAGCAGGATACCAGGGCACAACTGCCTCGTATACTAAGTTTGTAGTGACATAGCTTGAGTTTTCTATACAAAAAATGAGGAGGAGTTGGGTACCAAGACTCAGAATTTGCAGCCAGCACACTGAGTGGTATAGACACCTCCAAAGGGAAATGTTGAAATGTTTCTGTGCATGTCTGGAACACAAAGTCTCTTCCGAACTTCAGTGCCTACACGAGATCAAGATTTTGTAGTCAAGTGAGGTGGGCACTCCTGTGATCCCCTCACTTTTAAGCATTGTATCCAGTGCCTCCATAATACAAAATGGATAAATGGTCCTTCCTTAGGGCCTAGCAGGCATCCAAATACCATCTAAATTCTACTTTAGGCCCCCAACATATACAGCAAAAAGCAGCACTGTGCAGATACCTAGCCTGGCTCTGCATCGGCTAGCTCAAGAACCAAAAGCTGTACAGCCACATTAGCTTAAGACCTGCCCCAATACCCTACTCCTCAAAAGCATTCATTATCCCAGGTGCTTCGCTTATGCTGTCATGACTGCTTCTGTAGCTTGGGTATCTCTGCACAGAAGTGCCTCATGCCACACAGACTCAATACCCCAGCTAATGGATCCACAGCTAACTCAAGGTATCTGCAGAGGATTGCATTTTACCATGCAGAAATAGCCCAAATGCTTTTCCTGGATCTGGTCCTTAGCATTCACTATTATGCAACACCTAGAAACACAGACCTATTTATCTGCTTTATACTGCTTTATATAAAAATGCAGATAGCACAGGGGGGGAAAGGGCAAATGTACAGACTATTGAAAATCTGGCTGGCTTTTAAAATAAGTTTTTAGATTTCATACCATTTAATACTATAATTTCATTAGTAAGTCACCCTATGTATAGTATGTTAGATGATGAATTCCAAGGTAAAACTCATGAAAAATATATTGAGTTAGTCATTTAATGTTAGAATTAAACTGGTCTTTTCTACCCTTAAAACGGGAATAAGATGTCAGATAAAATGCAATACTTACACTATGTAGATCTGGAAAAGTTTCTTTCAAGGCAAAATATTCCATAAAAGTAGCAAATCCTTCATTCAGCCAAAGATCGTTCCACCACTCCATAGTTACTAGATTACCAAACCACTAAGAAAACAAACGCATACATGAATTTCCCTCACACATGCAATCACAGAAAAAATGAATTTCAGGCTCAATATAACAAATGGATAGTGAATAATTAAAGGTATGATGTATACAAACAAACTAACCCCCATCCCCCAAATTTTACAAAGGGCTAAACTACAAGCCCTACAGCATGCCCTATAGGGCATTTATACATATACATTTTCGTCCCACGACATGCTAAAGATCTGGTGGATTGGAGTCTGCTTTGCATTAGAACCGACTTGCACTGTGCTGTGTTGCATGCAACTGTACAAGTGGCAAAATGCATGTCAACGTGTAGAAAATGGCGGTGGTGCGCTTTTGAACTAAAACACTTTTGAGTTTTACTTGCTGCAGTACAAGCAGGTGCACAAATATCCACTGGTTTTACTACAAGCCCTATAGCATATAGATCTGTTAATCGCACAGACAACCCAGGAAGTAGATTGTACCAATGCTATTTTCCTACTGCAATAGAAAAACAGATCTGCAAGGCTTTTATCTGGTGCAGTAAGCTAAGTTATTGTTACCTTTTCTGTGCATTTCAGTGACAGAAAGCTGCACTGGTAAAAATACCATTTAAAAACAGTATCATTATCAATATTTCAGTCTAGTACCTGATGGGCCATCTCATGAGCTATGACTCTTGTTACCCGCTTTTTGTCAACTGCTGAAGAGGTTTTGTTGTCATAAAGGAGTGTTGTCTCTCGAAAGATGATCAAACCCCAGTTTTCCATAGCACCTGCTTCAAAATCAGGAATTCCTACCAAATCTGAAAAGGAAATAAACCATGTTTTTTATGCCACCACTTTACACTAATGCCAAATTTCAAGTCAATTTGATAAATCTTACTGCTTAGGAACTGATGTGCAAACACTCATGCACTAGCTTTAAGTAAAGAAGTCATCCCATTGACTTTAAGCAATGTATATTGATAAGTTATTTTGCAGGGATTTAGACAGAAAAATCTGAAACATGAATAGAATTCTGTGCATCTTTTTGAATGTTTGGTGTCAGGTGTATGCTGAATTTTCCATATTTAATAGTAATCATCTTTCTTAAGCCCAAAGGACACAGACTTCTGGGAACTATTTCCACATACCAAATTCAAAAAACATCAAAACTAGGGCTGTTGAATGATTAAAAAATTAATCATAATTAATTGAGAGATAAAAAAAGTTGCAATTAAACACAAGTTTAATTGGGCAGTTAAACGATAAAAGAATCCCAATTTATTATAAATATTTTTGAATGTACACACATATACAAACCCTAAACAGTCCCCAAGACCTAGCCCTCCAACCCATCCCCCACATACACTTACCTGCATCCAGGTGAGTGTGCGCTCCCAGGACCCTGACTGGGAGGGGGGAGGGGGCGGGGGGATGCTTTTCTCCCAGCAGCTCAGGCAGGTACACACCAACGATGGGACAGGGGCTGCTTTTGCAACACTGGCAGGGGAAAGGGGGTACTTCCCCCCCCCATCACCAGGAGTGATTAACACTCGTTAAAAAAATTAACACAAAATTAAATTAACGCATTAATCACAATTAACTGACAGCCCTAGTCAAAACATTTCTCAAATTATTATTAAATAGATTTTAGATGTTTGGAGGGTGGAGGTTATTTGTCCATTATTCTGGTTTTTTAAGTATACAACAGTTTCAATTGAAAATACAATAAAAATTATACTACTTAGAAATGTTATAGGAAATTGGGTGGCTTTTTTTAATTAATAGGAAAAACAAAAGATCTTACCTAATTTTTTAAGAGGGTAGTCTATATAAAAATATTTTTGATAAAATTCCAGGAACTTCACTGCTGTATCTAGGGCATACTCAACTTGGCCTAGGTTCTGTGGTATGGCATAGACAGATACCTGGGACAAAGAAAGGCAAGAAAATATTTAATGAGAAGCAACCACAAATGGCTGGGGAGGAAAATAGATGCAGAAAGCAAAAATAAGTAAAAACCTCTCTGGAGTGGATAAGGTTACCGATTTGGTTCTAATTTGATGGAAGTCTCATATCTACACACACATACATGCTTCTGAATATATAATTTGAAACTAAAACTTTTACAGTTTTCACTATAGCTGCTTCGTCATTTATAGACTGTGGCTGAAGTATGTAGCAGGGGAAATTTAGATTGGCTATTGGGAGGGAAGCAGGGGTGGAAAAAACACCTCTCAGGGTGAAGATAACAGCCCACCTAGAAAAGTTGAGGAATCTGCACCCTTGTGCATTAAGAGCAGATCAGATAAATGCTTGACTGCGATAGTTTAATCTAGGATGATTGTGCCTTGATCACAGACAGTATGATCTCCTAAGGTCCCTTCCACCCCCACTTTTTTAAGATTCTAGGTTTATTCCATCACATCCACAGGAAAAAAGGATGTACCATTGGTCTGAGTCCTGATGCATGTCATTGTGCACTGGATGATATCAAAGAACAAATTCTCATGAGAGAATGACTTGTACAAGTCTCCTCACACCTTAACTTGGATTTAGTGCATGAAACAGACCATGGACTCCTTTACTTTGAAAGTCTGAGGGTCTCCTTGGTACTAGATTCTTTGAAGCCAATATAGGGAGCTTATGGGATGAGGCCACAGGATTTTAATCAGAACCAGTTACCACAATCCTTCTCTGTCTGGATTTGTCACTCAATTCAACAGCTCTGAGGAGCGACAAATGCTATTACACAACTGGACAGTACAGGAATTCTATTATTTTAACCTCCTTACTCTTTCCATCCAAAGCCTTACAAACTCAGCATTTGCACCAGGGAGCGACATTTTCTCCCTAATACAAATTGTCCAGCTATACTTCATTCCTTTTAGGTATATATATTTTTATATAGTATGTTAAACCACATACACTGGCTTTGGTATATGACGGATCGTTATGACACACAAACCTATTTTCCTAATTTTTCCAAGTTACATTTAAAACGTGATTAGCAGGTTAACTGCACCTTAAGTAGTAACCCAGTCACACATTAAAGTCAATTTAAGAGGTGATAATACAGTTGAGCCACAAAGTTATTCCACATATAATGTGCAACATCTTTGGGGCTCATGTGTATAATGCCTTAAATTGAACGTGTGGCCAGCTGGGGCTGACCCATGACAGATCCCAACACTCAACTGAGTGTCAGGATCTAGCATGGAGCAGCCCCAGGGCCTGAGAGAGAGTTCTCTCAGTAGCCTGATCCCAGGGTCCCCAGGAGCCAGGGCTGAGTTAAAACCCCATGTGCCACTCAGATAGATGGCACACAGAGTTTAAACAGTCCTGGAGTCTTCATGAGTCAAAGCAGAGTTAAAACTCTAGCTGTAGTTTTGACAATCAGCTGATTGTTGGTTGGGGCTGGAGACCTGACTGGGGCTGGTTTCAGCTCTCAGGTCAATCCCTGTTCTCAACTGACAATCAGCTCCTGGGTTTTAACTTTCTGGTGGACGGGGAGCTCAGGATCATGATGAAGTAAGGCATGACAGAGCGCAGTAGGGATCTAATCCCTGTGTGGCATGGTATATGTGGCAAAGCAGAAGGCACGACTGTTGGAACTGAGGCTTAGATACCATGGCACCTTAACCTGAATGTCTGTCAGAGGCTGTACACACACACGCCCTCTCCCCACCCTAAAAACACCCTGGCATTTCTGGAAAAACAAACCTTATCAAGAAGTACCAAGCACTACAAAAAGAGCACCTTTTAAGGATTTACACTGCTCCTTTGCCCACGTACATATGCACATACAAGCAGTAATTAAAAGCACTCAAGGTCTGATCCAGTTCCATGATGCATAATGGAGTCTTAAAATGCAGCATTTTTATATGAGGGCTGGGCACCATAGTTTTCCTCATAGGCTCTCCTGGGTTTACCTTCCTCTCAATGGGGATCTTATTCACACCTGAGATTTTCGGGTTTCCTTACATTTGGCTCTTTCCCAGTGTGGCCTGTGTGCTAACGCAGGCTATTCTGGATTCCTTAAGTTTGGTTCAAAGTTAGAGGTGTTCATGTATTGTATTCATACATGTTCCTAGTCTGCTTTATTATCTCCATTGACCAGACAGGAGGAAAAAAATTAAGATGTGTAACAGTCTTCAGAGACCTCACTCCCTAGAGCCAAATGGATCACCATTAGACTGGGCATCTCTGCAATATTCTCTCTCCTTTCTTATATATTTTGTATAGCACTAAAATAGCCTTAAAATGCAAACTTTTTAATCATCAATTTGCAAATTAATATCACTGACAAGAATAGTTCACACCACTAAGGTGCTGTTTCAGGCTCTTGAGAAACAGAGGAAGAAAAACCTGCATAATTTTGTATTTGATTGATAAATTAAAATTTTCTTTGCAACTTGGGGAAAAAGAAGAGAAAGGTTTGAATTTAGAGTAAAGTATAACAACCATAAGAAAAATTATCACCCATCAAGCTGCTAGAAGGTAGACCAAATGAAGACTGACCCATTGGTATTAATTAGAATTTTGCCCAAAATGGCGGAGAAATGTAATGATAAAAATCCTGTATCTTTATTTCTGCATATTGGATAAGAGAGATGAAGATGATACTGCCATATCAGTCTAAAAGATAACTATTCCTAGCAGTGTACTTGAGAGTGGCTGCCTTCCCCTTCCACATTTTTGTTAACACATTACTCCTTGGCACTCTCCAGGCAACTACAGTGTAAGTGCTTTCCCCACACTGAGACGTCCCACCTCCAACAGCTCTAGTATAGCAACATAATGGAGCAGCCCTCATAATAACTCTCCTTTCCGTCAAGCTCCTTAGTATCCATTACTTGAGTTGCCCACTAACCTACTGGGATATATCCCCGCAACAGTGCCATGCAAAGATCAAATGAAGTCAATGGCAGCTGCTTGATCAGTGCTTCTCTAGACACGTTCAGAAAGTATCACTCATTTTTTCAAATGTCACTCGTTTTTTGACTATGGAAATATAATGGCACAACTCTTCTATTAAAAGACCTCAGAAAGACCCCAAGAAGTCAGAATGAAATCTATTTGAAATCTCTGGGTTTATCATGCGGATCATGCATAGGTGTTCACAAACCTAACAGTGTTAATGTGGAGTGGCACCCCATGACACCCTTAAAAGGGCCTCATGGTACCCCAAGGTCCCATAAAACCCTGGCTGAGAATGACTATGCCAGAGCAGGGGTGGGCAATTATTTTGGGCAGAGGGCTGCTTACCGCTCAGGGCAGATTAATATTAATTTTCTAAATTTTTTAGGGGCCCCATGGGCCAGATAGAATGGCCTGATGGGCCACATTCAGCCCGCATTTTGCCCACCCCTGTGCTAGAGTCTCAATATCCTTGAAAAAACAAACAAACAAACCTGAAAAAAAAAGCAGGTCTTTTTCAGGGACCAAAATACTGAAATTTGGTCTTCATCTACCCTAATAGCCAATGTGCTTGTTTGGATGCCTGGATATGGATAACAGACTGAAGACAAGATTGACTATGTAGGCATTTGTACCCACTACTCCCACGAGCAGCTATGTAAGAATGGCAGAAGTGTTGCACATGTTTTCTCTCCTTGTGGCTCAGCTGTGGTGCGTGCCAAAAGCTCAGCCTGGGTTTCACATGGACTCCACCAATAAAGGGTGGCCAGCAGCAGATGCAACAAAATGGCATATCTTCTGGTTAGCCTGACATCACTTCTTCCCAGAGCAAACTTTCCCACTTCCATGTCCAGTACAGATAGCTTTGTGTTTAGCTTATACCCTTACTCTTGGCAGACGTTCTGCAAACAGAAACCTGCTAGGAGGTTCTGGCACACACAACTTGGTAGATCTCTGACGCTGGTCTAGCCCACAGTATAAGGACCACTGCCTATCTCCTGTCAAAAGAATGTCTAGCAAAACCACAAGTGAGCCACTTATTTGTGCACAGAGTTTAATTATACAGTGAAAACAACATACCAGTGTCCTGTTTGTTTCCTGGCTTATATTTTTCAGATCTCCAACAATGAAGGCTACCAGGTAAGTGCTCATCTTCAAAGTCGTATAGAACTCATCTTGAACTATTCCATCTGTCACTGAGACAGTTGTATTCTGCAGGCAGAAGGAAAATACTGTCATTAATATATTATTATACACCTATATTATGGTAAGTGAGCTCTATGCCTCTCAGTGTTCAATGAAATACATACTCCAAATATTCTCCAATATTTGACTTGAAAAGGCTTTAGGTTGTGCCATAAATGCAGGTTTTGCACTGCATTCTAAAAAACGCATGTACACCTGGTATGAAAACATTCATGTGTTCCAACGTTTCTACATAATTGTGTATCTGTGTACTCTGGCAGAACAGGTCATTCTCAGGGAATGTAGGCACACATGTAATTCTGTACTTCAGAACATAAAATATGAAATAAAAGAGATGCCATATTGTCTTTAACCTTCAACCTGATACTGAAGTGTATTTCTTGGTAAATTTCTTGGTACATGTATTTCTTGGTAAATGCCAATCTACAAAAATAACTGCTGTCGAACTAACTACATAACATGGGACTACTGACTATTATACTAAACACTGTAAAAGTTTGGGGAAATAACTGCTAACCTAAGCAACGTTCAGAAATATGGAACTGAATTATTTGTGTCGTGCTCTGAGTACATCTCCCTAGCATTGTATAGCATCACGTACACTTAAAAAATACAGTGACAACAATGAACTGGTGCAGTGTCATTCAAGGTCATCTTGTCCATCAAAACCTGTACCAACACATTAGTGCGACAGTCTAACCAAGCCAATATGACTCATTATGTTTTCTTTACTAATAGAAAGAGTCCTCTTCTACCTGAGATCTTCTACCAATTTAGACATGTAGGTAGGGTGCCTGTACATGAGCATGGAGGTTGCTCTGACATGCTGTAATTACGGTGTGGCGGAGCAGACTCGATTACTCAACTGAGTCGCTGGAGCATGGTAATTAGCATGCTCTAGAAGACTCCAGCATCTCATATTCCAGTCTCCTTGCATTTAAAAATGGCGGCGGGGGCACCTGACAAGCTCATTCGACGATACACGAGACACCATGGCACTTTAATTACAGAGGTTGTCGGACCCACTCTAATTAAAGTGCTGCCCCCTCCCACGCCTGGAGCCCTTATAGACTAGGATCAAGTCAACTTCTCGTCTGCTCAAAGATGAACTAAGTTCCTTAAGTTCCCCCATTTATGGTGGAGTTTTCCAGACCTCCAATTATTACTGTAGCACTTTTACAATTTTTCATTTTTTTTTTAAACATTGATTTTAAATACCATTCTATTAACAGTTTCACTAATGATTGACAGAAAAGAATACTAGAGCTTCTGTACTCCTTTTTGATATTCCTCTACTTAAGCATGCACAAACTACTTTGGATCTTTTAGCTACAAAATTCCACTGTTGGAATAGCCAAGTCATGTTTATTATTCACCATGAACCCTTAAATCCTTATTAATCCTAGTCACTTTGTCAGGTTGAGAGCCTGAATTATAAAATAAAACAATCAATCAGATATACTGCCAAGAAAAGCAGTGTTAATATACAGGAACTAAAGAGTTTTACAGGATACTTCATTTACACAGTACCTCAGTCCTACAAAGAAATCCCTGTATATACAGAGGTCCTTACAAAAACCTCAAATTTGTAGAACTAAGTGCATTTATAATATAATGAATTATGTTAAAGAAAAGGTAGGTGACCATGTAATTAAAGTGTCCATAAATAAAGACTATAATGCATGTTCTGAAGAATGAAAAAAAAGGAGAGAATGCAAAGAACACAACACCACATTCACCAATATAATCACGTTTGAAAATGAAAACATGAGTTAGTGCAGCAGACAGAAATGATACAATATCAAATTATAAGGAGTCAGAAGAAAAAAAATGCTTTCAGTCTAAGATAAAGCCATCCAAAAAACCCAGTTAATTTAATTTGTCAACTGATCATTTTACTTGTGCTGTAATAAAACTCTTGGTAATTTCTAATTATTTCTGGCATATTCTTTTGTCATACACACAAAGAGGATCCTTGACAAGAGTCATGGAATTTTGAAACCCAACTCTCATTAACACTTTTCTATATTGGAGTGAAAAAGAACCTGAAAAGTGCTTATCTGAGATGTTAGCTAAATGATTCCCCCAAATAGCAAGGAACATGGAGAGAGTGAAACATTTTAAAGACTGGGACAGTAAAAGGCATCAAGTTAATTTTACAATGCATTAAAAAAATATCAAACCAGGGACCAGGAAGAGTGAAAATAAATGGACTAATTACAGACAGGAGAATAGGCCCCGCAGAGTGAAGAGAAACTGCTGAATTCACTGCAAGAGAGAAAAGCAAATTGGAAGTGAGGAAGCAGGAGCTAGGCACATGCTCCACTATGGGAGACAGCCAGCCTTGGGTGATGGAGTCAACAGGCACTTGACAGATGGGAGATGAACCAAAGTGATCCTAGCATGGCATCAACGTGCATTAGGTTATCTAAGCAGAAGAAGTGCTCCCACTTGCAGTGAAACAGCTGCTCAGTAAGCAAGGATCAGAAACCCATTGATGGGGAATGAGCTGCTGCCTTTTATCATTTTATACAGAAGTGCTACAAGTCCAGGGTCCCACATACTGAAACCAGGGAGGAATATCCTTCCTTATCCAATCCTAAAAGAACAAGCTATTTCTATTAAAACAAGCAGCAGGGCAAACTAGCAATATCAATGTTTGAAAGTATTATAATTAGGCATCACAGTTTTATACCCAACTAGAATTAATGGCATAGGTTCACACATCACAGGTCTTTACTGTTAAAAAATGTTGCTGACCACACGAAGACAAGAGCCTGAGAGCACTGCACTGAATCACATTTTGAATGTCATCTTTATAGCAAGAAGGGCTGAACATTTAATGTAAAGGTAAAGATCAGCTGCTGTGTTTAAGACCAGAATCCAACCAACTGCACAGAGGCTGCCATCTGCACTTTATCCACCCCCGTGCCCTTCTCAAACCTCTGAGAGTAACTGGGGCATAGCAATTCCTTCACCAATTCAGAATCCCACTGAATTGGTATTTTGAAGGAGTAGGCTTGGAGGCCAGGTCATTGGAAACATGTATGCACCAACTCAAAAGTGATGTAAGACTGTAAGATGAGTAACAGCTTGCCTTCACAGAAAAGCTCCGGGGTGGATCCAGCCTGTGGGGATTTGCTAGCTAGTTCCCAGATTGTTACGAGAAACATCAGAGGCGATCCAATTTAAGCTGGTTAGAAAAGGGTTGCAGAACTGCTTTTCCCAATCTGCCACTGATCTCAATATCCAGTTATCAAATCCAGGTCATAATGTTTGGCAAATGTATAGACTAAGCCCTAAAAGTGGCTACCCTTGAGATCACTGAAAAAGGAATAGCTCTCCAATATGCTATGGAAGTATCTACTGAACATAACAGCTGCAATGCATTAAGTGATCCATTTAGATAATTTTTGGCAACTCATGACCTGATCTCTCACAGACTTCCCCAGTGCCACAAATGATGGGAATGATTTCAAGAACTGGAGTCAGTCATAGAGAAATAAGGCTGGCAGGGACCTCAAGAGATCATCTAGTCCAACCACGGATCAAACCTGCAACCTTGGCGTTATTAGCACCACACTCCAACAAAATGAGCTGAATGGTGGTTTCATCCTGCCTAAATAAAGAAGAGATCTTGATTTCTAATCTGCTGTGAGATTTGAAGAGAGAAAACAGGGAGAGAAATGGCTCGTACTGAATGAAAAAATAAACATCCCCTCACTGAAGAACCACGGTGGTGGTTTTATCCTTATGCAAAACAATGCAAGTGGATAGCAACTAGGAGGTATCTGTCAATCTTACTAATTCTCGAGGCCAAGCGGGGCTGCCAGAAGGAAGATGGATATGACTATGCACTCTTCAAAAGGTCTCCAGCATAGAAGTGAAGTGGGAAGAGATTCCCAAAGGCCTGCAAGAACTAAGATCCCAGGGCACGGAAGATTCCCAGAATGCCTTGTGTGGTGGCAAAAAGGTGACAGCTGGAACAGGCCATCAGCAACTAGCGATATTTTGTTCCAGGCCAGCCAGATTTATTTAACAAATAGAGCATTCACGCTTTAAAAAAAATGCAGAGAAGTAGGTCTTTCTATAGAAGAAAGGCAGAATAGCTCAGCATTTTTCACCTTTGGAATTTAGTTTTAGGTGGGTCAATCTGCTTGGACTTCTCCCAGGCTTCCAATACTCCTAGGAAGAGAAGCCAGGAGTCAGAGGAGTGTACTGGTGGTAAAGTTAGGAGTTGCTCTCCTTGGGGGAATCCCTTGAGAGAAGAGAAAGATATATCTGGAGCACAGTCTACAATAGATTTTCTGCTAGAAAAAGGGAGGAGGAGGTAGAGATAGAAGAGGTGCAGGAAGTGGAGACGCTGGGAGTGGTAGTAGTAATAGTTCTGCCCTTTCACTAGTAAAGACAGAACAGAATCCGTACAACTGCCTTTTTTCTCTTGCAAACCACACACTCACAAGTAAGACATGCACCCTGTTTTGGGAATATGGAATGAAGAAAAAAAAAAGTGTTCCAGAGTCATGTCTGAATTCTGACTGCTCAGCCAAAAGCTTCTACCAAATCCACAGTAGCTGTGAAAGGGTTAACACCATAGCTCTGAGCCTCAAGGGTAAACTCTGTCCCCTTTCTCTCCAAGGTTGGCAGGGGAAGAAACACAGAAACCATTTTATAACATCTCCATCCTTCCTTTTCTCCATCACAGTATGAAAAAATCAGCTTGTTGCTTAAGTCATAAACCCCAATTTTGGAGGGTTGATTTTTTGGGACAGTTGCTCATTGTAGGTTTGTAAAAAATCTAGCATGGATCCCTAATGTATGTGTGTACATATGGTATTTCTTCTCAGTACCAGAGAGGATGGTGCCAGTCACACTGGTACCAAGGTTTGTACTGGGTGCTTAAATGCTACAAATTTGTAATAGGTCATCCAGGAGCATTAAGGACTCTGGTACAAAGCATTCTAGTGAGCAGTCCTTGCAGATTACAAGTTTTCGAGAGTAAGCAAGAAAATGAGATGTTAGCTTGTCCAGGTAGATCAGGTCTCTGGATTCATGGCTTCAGGGTTTTTTTTCCTTCTTTCCCATTCAGGAATGATGCTCTAAGTCAGATGTACCCTACCTAGATGTAGTCAAGATGGTACTGGATTTTAGTCCTGAGCAAGTGCTGAACTCTGCAAGATAGGTGAAAATTTACTGGTTGAATCAGTTGTAGAACCTCACCCTGTGTTTTTGGACAGAGACCCTAGTTACAACAATGGTGAAAGAGTGAGATTTCTAGGAGAAAAGTCCCTTTTGGGAGTTGGAGATGATTTGGAAAGATGCATGGAACTGAGAGGCAGTTGGGGCCACACTGTCCTGTGTGACTTGTGTCCCCTCTTGCCCCCCTCCTCTCCAAAACAGGACTGCAACAATAGAGACTACTGATCAAAAGATTCCATATGTCATGCACACACCACAGGTGGGAACTACACAAAAAATAAATCTAACCGGTCTAAAGAAATTCATGCAGCCACCAAAAATGTCCTAGTAGATTAAAAAATGCCCTACCATAATTCAATCTAACCCTGACTGTAGTCCATCCACTACCATTAGAAAGACAAAACAGTTTTAATTTTACATTAATAAATACATAAAATATGAGAATATAAAATCTTTGGGACAGACACAGTCATTCATTCATTATGTATCTGTACAGAATCTAAAACAGATCCCTAATCAGGCCCTCTTGACACTACTGCAATACAAAGCAATACAAATATCATACAAAGCACTTATAAAATACTGAGGATCTAAAACCAATTCTTCCAAGATTCTTACACTAGAAGATAAATTGTACCTTTGGCATATTAGACAGGGTAGAATGCTGCTCATCTCTCCTTATCGTAATTAGAAACGTGGATTTAAATGCTGGTTCATCAAAGCAGGGGAAAGCAGACCTTGCTGCCAGAGGTTCAAACTGAGTTGCTGCAAGCCACCTGATAGGGGACAGAACAAAAAAATAAGGTTAACATTGTATTATAAACAAAGGTATATGAATGCCAACTGCTAGATGTTACAGAATCACTTTCGGACAGTCTGAAGATAGGGAAAATTAGTTATTGGTGAGAGACAAGAAACACAGAAGAACTTTATCTAGTCATGACAAAGTCCTTGCCATTAGGGTACATCTTAAAAGGTTTTGTTGGCATTATTTTTATGCTTAGCAAAATCCAGTCAGAACATAGTCGCTAAAAAAGCAAGCGAACAGTTTAAAATAAAAGAATATATAAGGTCCTTATTCCCCCTTAACTTCACATAGCCAAAGGCAGCTGCAGGATACATGGATCTCTGTTCTGAGGGAGTGTCTAACAAGGGGAATAATTTGATGCCTCAGCAGACCAAGTGAAAGGCAGCTTTTACATTTTATGCTACACTTCAACAGGTAGAAAGTGTCACACTAGATTCCCATTAACCATCTGCCACAAAGAAATCCTACTCAGGAACAAATTTAAAGATTCTTATAATTTTTCAAACTTTTGTGCAAGGTTTTTCAAAGTATGGATTGGCAGCACTATAATATTCAATTTGTTCTTTATTCTCACCCCTGAAAAAGGGAGGGGGAAAGTCTGGTAAGAGGGGTGTCCTATTTCCCTTGGTCCTTAAATGGCATCAGGTTTACAAGAAATTATTTGCTTCTTTCCATGACTACTTGTTAAGTTAGCTCCTTAAAAATTCAGTAGTTTTCTTTAATCATTCACCAAATTAAATGATACCTTGTTTTGCCTTTGTAACAAGCAGCACTTTAAAAACTACTGATTTGTGAAATATACTAGGGTCAAAGGGACAAAGTCAGAGAACTGGCTGATATTGTTACAGGAAGCCTCTGAAAAAGGCCTGGAAAAGAAGTCTATTGCTTTTATTCCAGTGGAACAATCAAACAGCTGCACTAAAAACTCAGACCACCATCTTCTCCTACAGTATGTGAGAAAAATTGTATAATGGTGGATTTAATCTTCATTATAATAATCAGTATTTAAAGGGATTAAAATATAAAATGTATGCTTCTAGGGGTATGCACGCAGCTGGTAAATCTGTAAGAGGGTACACAATAAGAAAAGTTTGGGAACCTCCATCCTAAAGTAAATGGGGGAGACAAGTAGAGGTTTCAATCACTTCGTAAGACCTGGTAAGCAAATGTGGAAACAAATCAGCATTTTTGTTTTGGTTTTATCTGAATACAACATTAGAGTAAAATAAGTGTTGACTGAAGGGAGGCACTGAAGGGAGGCTTTCTAAAAAGGATACACAATGCAAGAGAAAAATATGGTACCAGCTGTTCACAACAGACATAAATAAATGTTGTCCTTTAAATTCTCACTACAAGCACTTTGTCATTTCATATTTCACCATAATACATGCCTTCAAGTAAAAGCTGCCCATATGCATGCCAGATTACTTTGCTCTGGCAATTTATTTCATTTGATGATATTTTGATATGATCCCTATCTCCTTCAATATCCTGTTATCATATCTGTAAAAAGCAGTATTCCCATGCCAGTGAATCAATCATATAATTTCAACAGAATGTCAAAGGAATAAAAAAGACCAATGAAGAGCTTCCTAATACAGGACTGGGGAGGATCTGCCAGGAGGCAGGCTAGAAAGTCTTTCACCATATGCTTAAGAACCTCCTTTCTAGGAGGGGGAGGGGCAGCACTATCTTATGAACAGTCAAATACATAATATGTTTTGACATTTCAGAAAATAGATCTGTTTGTCATATGCACATAGACAAATTGAAACAGATTAAGCATCTTTGATCCAAACTTCTGTCTTTAAATGGCAGCTGTTTGCAAGTAAGAGTCCCAACACTGCACTCAGTTAACACAACAGAATGAGGCAGGGGGAAAGTATCTCGAAGGGAGAGGGAGGATTTCTTTTGCACTTCAACTCAAGTGTGTTACTGTTAATTTACTGCCCTCTTGTCAATAGGCTATGGGAAAGGGTAAAAAGATGACGACTACTGAATGCAGTCTAGTAAACAAATTCTTTTTTATGTGAAAACAGACAAAAATAATTTTTCTTAAACTATGCAGCTCTCAAACTCTATGAAATCAGCGTTATGGTAGATTATACTTGTTTTCAAACAGACTGAGAAACTGCATAACACTGAGAAACTGCATAACTCACATTTTAGCTAAAATGGTCACCAGTTTTAAACTGATCCTTCTCATTTAAAAATACACACATAGAAGTTGGGCTAACCATAGCTACTAGCATGTTTCTAGAATAACTTATGCCTACCTACTATAATGCTAAAGGCTTGTTAAAATAGGACTGAGCAAGGTGTTGACTGCAAAACCAGAAAACAATAAATATCAAGCTGGTATTTTTTCTTGGAGGGAATCTGGTTAAAATATTCCTTCTCACTTATGAAAAAAATAACAACATATTTGCAAGCACTCTTTTCAATTAAGATTGAATCTGTGTGTGTCCTGACTAAAAGCCTTTGTATAAAATGAACTGAGTATAGTTCATTCTGGATGCATTCAGGTCCCCTAATTTAAGAATACAGATTAAGTTACCATTAACTAAAACACAGGTTGTAATAAATTATGGGCTAGATTTTGCCATCTTAGGATATGGGAAAAGTATATTTGTAGTGGCTCCAAAATGAAGGGGGAGCTGCTCCTGTTACTGCTGCCTGGGAGTGTATAGCAGCTGTTATGCTGTTAACTGATACGTGCATGATGGGAGAGGAGGGTGACAAAAAGATTGGCAGCAGGTCTTCTTGAATTTGCTTAAATTCTCCAAATTTCCCTCCAGCCTATACCCTATACTTAGGGGCTTGGGTGGAGATGCCACTGCTACCAAGTCAAGGCTGGGGCTGGAGCCATAGAAGCTGCCTGCTCCCCTACCACCTCACACTCAAATCCAAGACAAGGGGCTTCTCTCCACCCCCTCTGCTCCCCCAATATTAAGTGGGGGGGTAAAAACTCTGTCTTGGAGTCAAGTAAATACAGCAGAATATTTGGATCAACTAATTTAAGGCTTTGGGCTTGTTTAATTGGATCTCATTTCTGGTGTAGCTAGACACAATGATTGCTTCCTTTACTTTGCTGACCAAGCTAGTTGTCCTGTCTGTAAGGTTTACTTTATGGTCACTTAGAAACAGGCTTTGGGACCTTCTCCTTAGCTACACTTCTGCAGCTTGGTCTAGGTGAAAAAGGCCATGGCTGGAAACACACCCTTACCTCTGGGGCCTGATCTTTATGTGAACCATCAATAACACGAGGAATTAGGATTAAACAGAGGGAAAGATATAGTTGTAAAGTATTTAAGAAAAGTGAAAGCCTCCTCCATTTCAGCAAGCCTCTTACTCAACATTTCCTAAGGACCTCTTTTATTCTCCACACATTTTAACAGCTCAGCAAGCACAACAAATGTACAGCAAAGCTGATGCTTTTTCTCCCTCACCAATTATAATTCATTCAATAACCACACATGAGAAGAGCTATTCATACATGTACCTTTTCTCAGAATGTTCATCCTTGTAGGAGATTCTGTAAAATCCATAGTAGGTATCTGATAAATTAGATGAATAGTCCAGGCTGAGGATGTAGTTCTGCCCTACAAGAAGAGTTTCAGGAGCCACAACTGCAATCTGGTTATGCTTTGGGTACTCCAGAACTTCAACTGGTTTTCCTTGACTCCGTCCTTCTAAATTAAGGGTTGCCTTGGTGATATTAAGTCCTGAGCTATGAAGTATGATGTTCCAAGTTACCTGGATGACATTAACAGTAATCTGTACAGAACCTACACATTTCATAGTGGTTAGGTTTGGCTGTAAAAAGAGACTGTAACGTAGTGGTACGATGTTACTAGGAAGCCTAATCTTTGCCCAAGGAAATACCTTTCCATTAGTAGCTAAGGGATATATAAGTTCCATTGAATGATTTTTTTTATGGCAGCCTTCTTTGGTAAAAGTACATTTGGGAAGAAGATAAATCACCATGACGACTGAAACTGCAATCACAAGAACAACCACACAAACCACCATGGTCCTTGTAGACGGCACTGAGCATGAGCCATCTGGATTTTGTCTGTAGCCAGCTCCATTATTACGGAGACCTGAGCTTCTGTTCATGAAAGACATGCCCAGCAATTTTGCTGAAGATTCATAATCCTCCTCCTCCTCATCCATTTCGTGTTCTCCAAGGCCACGCACCAACAGTCGTGAACTCCTTGGCTCATACTCCACTTCATCTGGTTCCAATGGATGCAAGCAAGGCTCCTTAGCCAAGTCAACCACATCGGGTTCTTCCTCAAACATGCTGTTTTCAATCATGTTCCTGGGTAACTGAATTCGATCTGGGGGAGGGGAAAAATGAGCATATGTTATATGATAACTATAATTATTATACCTCAAAGATAATGACTACTGAATGTAGTCTAGTAAACAAATTCTTTTTTATGTGAAAAAGATGATGAGTGTGGATAATGGAGTCTGCAAAGCACTTCTTCAGTACATCCTGTGGAAAACCCTCCAAATTTATCATCTTTCAAGTTTACTTACTCTCAGAGAATATCTATACATCTTTCTGCCTAGAATGCTGATTTTTTTTGTTTGAATGACAAAGATGTTCCTTATGATACTATCTACACTGAGAAACCGCATAACTCACATTTTAGCTAAAATGGCCACCAGTTTTAAATTGATCCTTCTCATTTAAAAATACACACATAGAAGTTGAGCTAACCATAGCTACTAGCATGTTTCTAGAATAACTTACGCCTACCTACTACAAATGCTAAAGTCTTGTTAAAAAAGGACTGAGCTAGGTGTTGATTGCAAAACCAGAAAACAACAAATATCAAGCTGGTATTTTTTCTTGGAGGGAATCTGGTTAAAATAGTCCTTCACACTTATGAAAAAAATAACAACACATTTGCAGGCACTCTTTTCAATTAAGATTGAATCTATGTGTGTCCTGACTAAAAGATAGTTCGTATTAAAGTGAAGAATGTCTCCGTAAATCCTGACCCTAATTATTAACAGACTGTTGTATATTCAACCATAATATAAGAGATAATTCAACCCTCACTTTTTCTTCCTCCTTCTTTAGAAGTGTCAGATACTTATGAATTAAACATTTGAAGGTATGTTGTACCATGCATTTTATTTTGTTATTTCTGTATAATAGCTTGTTCGACCATTCCCAGAGCTAGGAGGAAGTTAGAAGTACTGCTGGATAAAGGGGGTAATATTCCTAGACACTAGCTACTGATGGCTTAAATATAAAAGTTTATCTTCCTTATGGACCCGAATCAAAGCCCACTGAAATGGTATCCATTGATTTAAAAGGCTGATGAAGCAGACTCCCTGGGGATAATAGAGAAGAAACTAGAAGGACTGGAAGAACCACCAAACTTATTTAGCTCTGAATTAAACAGTCACTCCCACAAACAGCTCTTTATTTTTCGATCCCATAATTTATGTTTCTTGATGCTTGTTAGTTCTGCTTTTAGCAGTAGTGGTCCAAAGGATATAACTGGACACTTCAGTGCTCATCTATTTTTTTCTTAGTATTATTTTGGGAAAAATATAAACGTAAGTTGGATGCAACAGAACATTTTTGGGACTGACTACCGATTCCCATCCAGGACTCTACACCTTGGTAAAAGAAAATATGGGACTTATAAGGTCTTCTAGAATGGCAGCCCCCAAATCTTGTGCTCTTGCTTCAGTTCCATGAACTTCAATGTGATGCAGACAGGTGCTTAAATTTAAGCATGTTTAAGCATTTTGCCAAAAAGTCATGTTTGCAGTGAAGCAAATGCTTTGCTAAATCGGAGCCTAGAGTCAGTTACTAAAGGAGAACACAGATTAGACTGCATTCAGATGAAACAGGTGGCAAAAGCTTAGAAGTAGTTGAAAATTCTCTGTTAAATTAGGGTTTTTTGTTTTAAAGTAAAGGGGAGAAAGGGAAATATTTTCATCAATATTTGTTCAGATAAAAAAGCAAAAAGTTACTTCAGACAGTTCCAGAGAAGTAAATGTTTATGGCAAAGAGCAAGACCTCAGAACTTAACACCCAATACTACAAACTAAAATCATTTAAGAGCAATGTCAACCAAAACTAAAATAAAAATATTCCCTTGATCTAAAGAGATTCTTAAAACAAGTTCCTCCTCTTTTGAGGAAACCTGTTCATCTGAACATTATTCATATCAAGCTCTCACCCTCATCATTTAACCTTTTAGAATGATGTATTGAGCAATAGCTCCACGGACTGTCATTTGCCAAGTGAAGTCAATAGGAAGACCTGTTTATTCTTCATATTATATCCAAATTCATCCAAACTAATAAGTGAAATTCTGATCTGAAGCTTAGTTCATCATGTCAAAAAACTTGAAATAAATATTGTATAAGACTGACTTATGGGGAAAAAGCTACAAATCTGAGCTCATAAAACACAGTTTATTGTTTTCTGGTCAAATTCCAAATTCAGAAAGTGTCAATCTACTCATCATCACTTTTTTCAAAGGAAATATATTCATAGATTGCGAGGCTGGAAGGGACCTCGGAAGATCATAGGGCCCAGCCCCCTGCACCAGGCAAGAAAGACAACTGGGGTCAGGTAACCCCAGCAAGGTAACCGTCCAGTCTCCTCTTGAAGATTTCCAGGGTAGTTGACTGCACCACCTCTGGAGGGAGCTTATTCCAGAGTATGGACACTGTAGCTATTCAATGAGTGCTTTGAACTTTGAGAGTTTTGAACAAGTCTACAGATGTTTCATTTTTTTTTTTTAGAGATTAAAAAATGGTTTACATTTTAAAGAAATAAGTTATTTTCAATTGTAATGTCTGTGTACAAAGCAACCAAGCACATTCTTGAACACCACTTAGGGTCCCTCCTGTTCTTATAGCAGTTCCTTAACAAGTGACACTATCTGCAAAATCTGAGATTTTAAGCTACTTTTTTCCAGAACACATAGAAAGGTTAAAATAAAGTTTATTAGAATACAAATCTCAACATGAATGTGAAAAGCAATGGACACTTGTTAGTATAGCAAACCAAGAACACTATTTCTTTAGAAAAATCCACAGAAATGGAGGCAGTGTAGCTAGTAAGTACAAAAACAGCCAGGTTTTACTGATAAACCCCCCCCCCCACCCCCCCCTCTAATTTTTAAAGTTAAAAAAAAAAAAAAAAAAAAAAAA